CATGCAGCTGTCAGTTGGAAGTAAATCAGTAAAATATTATATAGGAACACGTTTAACAGTTTTCTACCAGCATTCCTGTCTTCACCATTTGCAGTAGTGGTGCTTTGTACATTTAAAAAAATATATATTTTCCTCATTGTTCTCGGTTAAAACAACGTGCTGACTGAAGCAGCTGCACATGATCAGTTCATATTGTGCAGAAGAAGAGTCACGTGACGCGTTAAACGCCCCTTTTTATGTGAACGTGCACAGAGTCTGAAGCAGAAAGCCTGAGTTGACAAAGAAAGTTGAAAACCACCTTCGTGATACCCGTAATCTATGGCTGTGGCTTTCCGTTTTGTCGATTCAGCTTCCACAAAGAAAGCCTGGCTACGTTAAACTGGCTTCGTAGTCTACTCCTCTGTTCACTGCTAAAAGATCCCAATTTCACTGCAAGAACCTTGAGAGCCAACTCCTGCTGAAGCTCGACAGTCACTTAACTGAGTGATTCTCTGGGACAGAACATGCAAACACATTTTCACTAACATGCACACACACACACAATATTGAGACACTGAGTGCTGTATGCACAAAGTCTTGTTTCTGTGTTTCTATGTAATCTCTGCCAGCTGAGCCTAATGTTCTGGTTCAGGAGTGTAAACGAAAGCAACTGACAACGTCTGAATTTCAATTAATTTCTGTTATTTTATCAAGATTTCATTTATTATTGTTTAAGCGATATTGTTGGGAAATATCTGAATTTGTACATTCTTATTTTATATTTTTGTCTATTTGACATTGGTGTGGGCTGCAAGGTGGCGCAGTTGGTTAGCACTGTTGCCTCACAGCAAGAAGGTCGCCGGTTCGCGTCCTGGTGGGGGCACTGGGATCTTTCTGCGTGGAGTTTGCATGTTCTCCCCGTGCAGCGTGGGTTGAATGGGGGGAGTTTGGTAGAGAGCAATGTATGAGACGATGATCAGAGACTGAGGGTGTGATGTTTGCAGCTGGGACACTTCACTGTGGATGAGTTCACAGGCTGCAGCAGCATCAGCTGAGGGGGGGGATGTAAACTGCAATCGCCAGGACGTAAGAAAACTCCCTCGGCAGGTAAAATGGCCGCAAACTAACCGCCAGCAGTTCAACATCCTTTGTGCAGTGCTGCTCTTTAACATTAACGTGCCAGCACTACACCTCTCACGCTCTCCTTCACATGCATGGCGAGTCCCCAGCCTTTCCTCTTACCACTCTCCCTGAAGCTCCGGTCTGCACTGACCAGGTGACATCTGTCCAAGCGAGTCCGGAGTGAGTTCATTCAGCCATGACTCCGTAAACAACATAAGGGTGCACTGTCGATAAAGTCAAGGATATATTATATTTAACAGTGGCTGAAACCACCAGAAATGGATTCTTTCACCAGACAGAAAATAAACAATGACACATATCATTAAACCACACACAGAAACGTTTGAAGTATCGTGGTTTTTGTATTGTTAATACACAAATAATTACATGTCAGTGATGGAAAAATTTTTAGATCTTTTACTGCAAGGAACACTTTATCTTTCAGCCTATCTAAAAAAAAAAAAGCCTTATTCAGAGTCATTTGGTCTTACATGGCTTTCGTTGGACAGGAAGGATGTGAAAAATTGTATATATCTATCTTGGAGACAGAAGTACAGTCGTGACTCGATAATCCGACACTAAATGTAAAACCTTCTTTTATGTCGGATAGCAAGGCTGTCGGATTGTCAAGACGGAGGTCGAGATACAAGGAGGGCTTGATGCTTAAAGGGTCATTTGTTGTGAATATTTATTGTTGTTATAATAACTAGTGTATTGACAGAACACTACGCATCACTGGATTTTACTTTACTTGAGTACTAAGTTTTCCGACGACTTTTCACTTTTACTCCCTACATCTGAACACAAATATCTGTACTTTCTACTCCTTACATTCTCAAAACTGGCTCGTTGCTTGTTTCAAACTCCGCGGATGACGACATGACATAACAATTTATCTTTCCCAGCAGTGCGCAATTTGTCACTGAAGCTCAACACACCTCAGCTGCCTTCGAGAGGCTTTTAAACACTGCAGGACTGATTTTCAGACCCAAAAGGGCCCGTCTTCATCCAAAGAACTTTGAGACTCAGCTTCTGCTGAGGCTCACTAAAAGATTTTGGTAGTCTTGAGAAGATGAGTGTTTCCATGTTGATTATGTTTCATGTTCATAATGTTGCTGAAATGGAAAACTGTCCAGTGATGTTTTTCTCTGTACCAGCACTGTGCAGCTTCTTAAAGGATGAAAACGATCCTATTTTGTGTGCTTCAAACTTTTTACATTTTGCAGAGGCATCGCATTTCTGATTCTGTACTTTTTTTTAACTTTTACTTGAGTAAAGGGGTTGAGTCAGTACTTCTACTTTTACCCGAGTCTATTTTTACACAAGTGTCTCTACTTAAGTAAAGAATGTGAGCACTTTTGCCATCTCTGTATATTTGTGCAAGTAAACCTTAAAGTGAACCTGAGGAAAGTTTAAATAGTTTGGCAAATACTGATGTTGCCAAACCGTATTGGAAAATGTTTTATGACGTTTAAAAGTGTACATGCATTCATATTTATGGTAAATTCTTCCAAGTCAAGTGTTTTGCTGATCCATTAATCCACCCTGATCTCCTCCCTTGGTGCTCTTTTGGCTCCTTCACAACACTAACTGCCCAACACCTCTTTTAACTACGACCTCTGCAGCAAACACACAGCAGAATTTATACGTTTTCAACACTGAGACCTAAAAAAACACATTTTAAAAAAAAGAAAAGAGGAAACCAAATTTGGTTGTTATATCTGTAGCTTTCTGACTCGATCTTGTGTGAAAAAGGCGTGCACTGTGTGATGTGTTCATTCCACTTTGCTCGCTGCCAAGAAACAAGTCAAACTGGTGGAGAAACAAAGACACTGGCACAACGGGATTGGTAAGTAGATGTTGACAAGTGAATTTGTCATTCTTGAAAGGTGCTTCAGGTAACAAGGGGAACTTTTGTTCTTCTTTGTTCTTGGCCACTGGTAAAAGCTTAACCTGTATACAAACAGCAGAGAAATATGGAGCAAGAGGGCGAGGTGGAGTGACGAAACAGAAAGTGAAACCTGAAGCAGAAAAAACAAGCACCAGGCTGGGATGTGGCATTGCAACATATTTCAATAACGTCAAGGTGGAAGCACAGACAAATGTTAAAGGAGGGAATGTGGCCACCTTTGCTGTATTTTCTCTTCTTCACTGGAAGTTTGGAAAATCTGTTATGTGGACATTCAGCAAAACAGCATGCCCTGCCCTCAAAGAACAATAAGTTCTCCTTGTTACCTGAAGTACCTTTCAAGAATGAGAAATTCAGCTATTGACATCTACATAATTAAACAAAAACTGACAGAGGACATAAACTAAAACCTATTACTTCTCATATTGATAAACTGTCCACAATCTTTCAAAGGATATTTCCCTAAAATCTGACGCGTCAGCTCAATACACTGTAAGCAGAGTCGACAGTTAAATAGAAGCAAAAAAGAATCTTGACTAACCAGTGATATGTAGTCAAATAAGAAATCTGTGGAGAGGAAGAATGGATGACTGTCCTGCATGTGGTCTTCTCTCTGCAGTGTCAGTTTAATTTCATGTTCACTTTGCTATTTGAAGTGTGTGTGCTGTGGTCAAAGTACAAATCATATAACTGCCAAGAGTTTTTTTTCAGCACATTGTCACATTTTTTTTTGTGTGTTTAGTTAGAATTTAAGAAACTGCAGTGTAGCTGGTCGAGTCCATCTCAAATCAAGGGCCAGAGGGTAAAGCACCACTAAAGATGGAGATGAAGGGTGGAGGCTTCACCCTTTCTGACCTTTTTTTGTATGTAAAGGAGTTAATAATGTTGAATATTTAGACTGTAAAATGACACTGTGCTACTGTGTTTATATATATATATATATATCCTTCTAAGACGATCAGAATCTGAACATATCCTCTATTACATTCACAATAGCTGCAAGATCTCCAACTGTTGTAATTAAAGTACTTATTTAAGTACATAGTTGAAACTTAAAACATGAAACTCAGTGATTTAGACAAACCTTTAGGGGAACATAATATTGATGGTAATGTCATCAACTTAACATTGTTTGTAATTTACACTCAGATTCTGGAGTTAGTTGGTTTCAAAGTGAGTTCAAGTTGAGGTAACTTAATAAATTGGCTTGATAACTTTGTTTTTTTTTCACCTCGACTTGAGGATTTCATGTCCCCTCCTCTGTCCTAACAGAGCTGGACAAACTAAGAAGGTGAATTTAAAAATACCTTTAATTCATTAGGAAAAGCAAATTCCTCTAACTCAGCGTAGTTTGTTAGTTGAACATGATTTCATTAGAAGTTGTTATAACTCAAAAAGATTGATGTAAACTGTTGAACTCATTCATTGTTAGCTGGAGCCAACAGCTTGGGGCCACCAGGGGCCTCCACTGCAGCACAATCAGAGAGTCAAAGCTGTTCCCCTTCAACAGAGAGCTGAGCAGCACAGAGGAGGAGCTTCAGTGATTCTGTGACACACATCCAACATCCTCAGCCTCCGTCCTCAGCCTGGCTCCGCCCCCCTTCAGCCCCTTTCAGGTGGAGTTTGGCTCATGGGCAGAGCTGAAGTGAAACTATTATATTTTCACTTTAGGTCTCGACCCATCAGCTGTCTGAAGTCATATTTGCTAAGCAGAGCAGCCGAGTCAACAGAGAGTGACACAAAACGACTTTAAAGCCACTTCAGAGCCACACAGCAAGAGAGGCCGACGGAGGGCCAATTTTCCTGAACAACTGCACTGACTGCTTCTTCATCATGGATGGTGAGTTAGATTTGCTGCTTTACATCGTTCTGTGTCGTCACTGAGGTTGAGAATCAGGAAAAAAATAAAAACCTTTCAACATTTTTGTGATGTTGCATCCAGCTCAATGAAGGAAGAGTTCAGAGTGTTGAACTGTCACAGAGTCATGCTGATGCTGACGTTGCTTTCTGGGTTTAATTACATCCTAACAGACCGAATCTTATTGTTCTCTCTGAAATCTGACTCTTGAGTTTCAGTCCCACCATTTGGTGAAATGTTCTCACAGTACTGTGGCGGCCATGTTGGACATGTAACTGTAATTATAGGAAGTGTTAGAGGTAAATAGTTTGAAGTTCAGGAGGGATGTTTATCTTTATATTTTAAATAATTAGAACGTTCATATCTTCATGTCTTGTTGTTTTGTGTACCAGCAGCACATTTCATCATGTTTTACCACAGAATACATTCCTACAGCACTACAGTAGCTTACGAACAGTGTGTGTGATGATCCAGTGTTGTAATTGTTAGATCATAACAACATGTGGATATGTCATACTTCATACTTCCTTCGCTCAGAGCAAAATGCAGATGTGTGAAGGTTGGACACAAATATATGTGTATATATATACTGTGTAGAGCCACCTGGACAGGTGCATTTACACTTACACACCTACACATTGTTGACATTCAATTGAAGTCTTTTATAATCTGCTGTGTTTGTTGTACCCAAAATACTATACGTACTTTGGTTACAACAAAGTAGAACATGTTATCTATTTTATATACAACATATTTTATCTTTCTGGGCACTTTTCAATGAATCATGAAGATATTCTTGAGAAAAAAACTGTTAAGTGTAAAATTATTTTAGAATAACTTTAAGAATGTATCTGTACTAGAAACATTTTATTGTATTAAAATCCAAAAATGTGTTTTATTTTTATTACAAGTTACATTATATTTACAGTATTTTTCTTTTATTCTTTAGGTACTATCTATAATTATCCATCATATGACTGTTTTTTATGTGTCAGAATTTTTAATTAGATACAATAATTATCTCTGAATCTGGTTCTGTTAAATAACAGCTGCACATGTTCAC